CACCCACACCCACACCCACACCCCAAAATAAATATTCGTTTCTCTTACATCCAGGAATATCACAAACTTCCTCATTCTCTTACTTTTCTTCTGATTATAGTTATTTTCTTACTTGACTAGTAGCGGTATATTGATCCAACAAAGACTTCACAAATAGAAGAGATCTATTCCAGTGTTTAATAGATACAACCACTAATGTGCGTTTCAAAATATAAGAACCGTGACTATTTCTTCAATAACTTTTGATACAAACAGGATACAGTGGTGCGGTGTGGGTGCCGGTGTTGATGTGGTTGTGGGGTGTGGGTGTGGGATGTGGATGTGGGTATGGGTCCAATCAATGGTCATATACATCCGCACCCAAACCGTTTTGGTGAGATATGAATTTCTCAAAAAAATTAGCAAAAGTGCTTTTTTTCGCAATAGTGCTCTTTAATAAATTTTCAATAAGTCGAGAACGGAAAAATATTTTTTCAAACGGCTTGCATCAAAATTAATAAAACTCTACTCTGTATAAGAATATCTTAACTTCAGGAGTCTGATGATCATGACTGAGCAGCTTGCCTAGAAAAGGATCCCAATTTTTACTCAAGTTAGGTCATATTTATACGTTAGAAAAGATTTTTGTTCGGGTGAAAATCGAAACAGCAAGCTTTTGAAGACTGTTGCTAAATAGCTCAAGAGTAGTAGTACTTAGTTTCAAAGCGGCAGCTCATAACTCGCTCATAAGCGATAGAAATCCTGATCACAATATAGCACGCTTATCTAGAAGCTATGAAATGCCTCTATACCGCCTAAAGAGTGGAAAAATGATTTGAATTGCGTCAATCTGTAGGATACTAAGGACAGTATATATCCTCAAAGTTTCATGCCAAAACACATGATGGTTGAAAAATGGCGAAGTGTACACTGATTGGGTACTGCATTTGGGATCGTCATTTTTTAGCTGAGGGTGCCTCCATTGTGATCTCAATATCTCAAGAAGGGAACAGTTTTAGAAGCCGAAATTTTAGACTTTCATATCTCACTTGGGTCTACATACAGACAAAATTTCATCGAAATCCGTGAGATCAATTGAGCACGTGTTCCGAATTTTGGCAGTTTCTTTCGTGCAATGGCTCATAGGTATGAGTTTCTTCATTAAACAATCATTACATTTAGTGTATTCCATGTTTTAAATTGAAAATTTGCACATTATGGGAACATTTTTACATCTAATTTATAAACAATTAAAACATGCTACCCAAATGCAAATAATCGAATGTCATACTTCATGTCGATTGGCAATTCCAACATCATCAACTTCAACATATTCAAACTCCAATGATGATAAAGATATTAATGAATCACCAAAAAAGAAACCAAAACGCTTCTTAGAATTCTTAATGGATGATATAACGTCACCAGTAGTACTACAAACCAAGGGTGAAGTTGATGCTTACATTGATTTGCAACTTAAAGATGATGAAACTTACACAAATCCACTTACATTTTGGCAACAGCATCAATCCACATTTCCTCATTTATCAAAACTTGCAAGGAAAATATTTTCTGTTCCATGCAGTTCTGCTGCCGTTGAACGCGGGTTCAGCGCAGCTGGCCAGATAGTCACACAGCGTCGATCTAATCTTGAACCCAGCACAATTAATGATATAATTTTTCTTCGTTCGATAGAAAATATTAAAAGACAAATATAATTTCACAGATATTTATTTTTCTATATTCTTTTATCGTATGATTCTGTATGATTTTGTGTTTTTCTGCCGTTCACCTTGTTATTGTTATTCGTATGTGAATAAAGAATAAAAGGATAAATTTAAAAGATTTGAATAGAAACTGAGATGCTTGTTACACTTTAAGATGAATCATTGTTTACACATTGGACGACTGATCTTATCATACAATTTGGATGTACAGACGCAGTGTAATTTAGAAGCTTTTCCTGTTGTGATGTGAAATCTGAGCTGAACTGAACCAAACCGAACCGAACCAAACTCGAACTGTTTGGTTAGAAATGAACTCGAACCGAACCGAACCGAACCCGAACTGACTCTTGAAAAATGAATTCGAATCAAACTGAAGAGTGTGGGTGCGGGTGTGGATGTGGGTGAGTGTGAGTGGGCTGTGGGTGTGGATATCTTTGTTTTCTTTTTTCACTCACACCCACACCCTAGTTTTAGTAGGTTAATTTTTTTGGTCAATTTAGAGTCTAATATCGTGCAAAGACGAAGAAAGCATAAGTACAAGGTTACTATTGATGTTCTTATACTATTCTCGATGACACGATTATTATTAACCGTGTGGGTGTGCATGTGCGTTTGGGTATGGGCATGGGTGTCCCTGTGGGAGGCTGCGTGTAGATATGGATGTGGGTATAGATATCGTGTTCTACATTCTTAGTTACACCGACAGTCACACCCCCATCTTCACCCCACACCCCACAGCCACACCAACTGACCCATATTCCACGTCCACACTCACACCAACACCCACACTCCGCATCATTCACACCTATCCTCACATCCACACAGGGTTGCCAGATCAAAATCTTACAAATCGGAATTCATTTGCCTGAATTCGGAAAATTTCGGAAAAGCATCTGGCTAATTCGGAAAAAAATCGGAAAGTAGTGATTTTTAACTTTTTGACGCTCAAGTTGATTTTTTTCGTAAAAAATAGCTTTCTGAGTTTGGTTATCCTCTCTGTAGATATATTTCATCAATATTAAAACAAATATATTAAATATAGTACTATTAGAAAATATCATTTTCAAGAAGAGACAGTTAATACACGAAAAAAAACTCAAAATAAACTATCTATACATGTATGTATACCTACAATTCAAAACATTTATTGAAAAAGAAACTAAAGTTCATTTACTAAGACGTTTTTTCGAACAAACTTTTCATTTTAAGCTATTTTTTTCCATAGTTCTTCTTGAGTAAAAGAAAGTCATGAACATTTGCACAAGGAATATCGGAATTATTTCTGATTTATAACTCAGATTTCATCAATTCGATATCCATTCAATTTCGATAATCAGATCATAAGTGAGTCATGTGACTGAATATTGATTCAAGAAAAGAACTGCTACATGAAATAGAAAATACATAGGTAACAATTAGTTTCAAACTCAGTGCTGTCTTTGGGTCAATATTTAAAAAATATGAACATAAGTGATCAGATTGAACACATTCATTTGCTCTTGCACCAATATTCAACAATCTTTCTAAAATATAACCATTAAAAAGTAAAACAATATGCTTATTGTTATTTAGATTACGCTTTCTAGAGATACTAGTCATTCATATGACTTATTCGAAAACCAAACATTGATTGAAGCTATTTTGAGAAATCTTAGATGAAATTTGAAAAAAAAAATGCGTATCATATTGCATCTTCTCTCCCTTCTCTGCTTGTCTGTCAGAATAAAATCAATTATCTAATGATTACAGAATCGTAAAGATGGCGCAATATGAAATCTATCAAAAGTTCTATCGAAAATTGTAATGCAAAAAGAATTTTTAAAAAATACTGCGATTCAGAAAAATTCGGCAAAATCTCAAGAATTCGGATGAATTCGGAAAGTCGGAAAGCAGTCTGAAAAACTTAGAAAATTCGGAAATTTCCGAAAAATTCGGATGATCTGGCAACCCGGCATCCACACCTCACCTTCATCTTATAGAGTCTGGATACGTATCAAAAGAGGATTTCTGAGTTCATTTTTGTTTAAAAAAAGTCGTTTTGATTAGAAATGTTTTGATTTTTGTTTTAAGATCAATTATGCAACGAGTTAATTAACATGTTAATGAATATTTAAAATTATACTTGTGAAAAAGAATATAAAGCGAACAAATCATAATTAGTGATAGCGATAAGTTTCCTTGGCACTTTTGCATTTTTTTGATGTTTTTGCTTGTTCATGCAACCTATCTCGAACCCGCATGGGAACAAAATCGGTTGGATCATAATACCAATCATAGTAGGAATAGTCATCATAGTAGTAATAGTCGTAATTTGAGAGTGATAAAGAGTCTACCTTACATGCAATATCTCTTTCCATTTGCGAGAGCCATTGATTGATCTCATCAGCGAAATTCAATGTGTCACATGTGTAAAATGTAACATATGATAAATGTTCGACTTGCTCAAATATCATTATTGCGTCGTTCACATACGTGATATCAGTGTCAAGACGTTTGATATGACGAGGTAATTTCAAACAGATAGAATTCAGAGTTAATAACTTCATTCTTTCAGAATCATTACAGTCTATTCGAATTGAACAAATATTCCATGCTCGCTTGAGTAGTGTATCCATTTCGACATCAAGACTTCTAGCGAACTCGACCTCGCTTTCGAAATACAAGTATAGTTTTCGAAGATTTGATAGATCGACCATTGCTGAAAGATGTTCAATCGAACCGATAGGCCATTTATAATCAATTATCAGTGTAAGTTCTGTTACATTTCGAAATAGATAATTCATTCTTTGATTAGTCTAAAGACAGAAATTCATGGTTTTAAGGATGTGGATGTAGGTGAAAACAAGACTCACACTCTCACAAGTACTACCTATCTAAAAAGATTTTATATAAAAGATAACGAAAAACAACGTTATAAACTATATTAAAAACCACGATTATTTCATTAAAATGTTCCATTTAACATTGATTATGCTACTCATTTCGAATCAAAATTAATAATGTTATTTTGATTACGTGGTTAGGTGCTGATTTTAGTGGATAGGTTTATACATTCATTCGAAAATATGATTTTTTTGATTTAACAAAGTCATTTAAAAACAGGTCTTTGTCAAATAAAGCAAAAGATTTTAGTATACTTGTCATTTTATCACAACGAAAGAGAATAAAGTGAAATTAAAGCTAATATTTCAGCAAAACAGCAATGAGTATAAATGTACATAAATTTTCATGAGAGTCAACAGCAAGACATTTTTATGCATAGATGAAAAGTTGCTCATATTTTTTACGATTCTCATCATTCCCTTCAATACACAAATGTTATACTTTTGTGTGAATAAAAATACTTCCGTGACCATGTTTCACACGTTAACCCTTTACGAACCGTGCCTATGTATACAGACGAGCACACAATTGAAACAGAAAGTGCAAGATCTTTGGATATTTTGAAGTGGAATGATTGTGTATTTTGTATCATTTGCTATCAGAAACTTCATTGTCTCAGTCTCTACACAAACAAGAGCTAGCGTAACAGGTATATAGGTTATGATTTCTAGATTGTTACTAATTCTGACGACACGGTTTATTACTTCTTGAAAAAAAAGTCAGTTCGTAAAGGATTAATGACCTCAAGAATCATCATTCGAAAGTAAATAATAGCAGTTTTGAATATTCGTTGTAAATATTTCTCTAATACTAGAAAACTAAATAGTTCATTTGATGAAAACGTGAGGAAACTATTGAGATTTTTTATGATACTAGGCTTTATAGCACATTTTGAATATTAGAGAAACATGAGCAATAAGAATAAGTTACTTTTCTTAATATTGCTGTTGGATCTAATAAAATTAATATTCTACTATTTAAGTTCTATTATGTATTCTAATTCCTAGTTCATAATATGCAAGTGAAATTTTTCTGGGAATCTTAGCAACAATGAAGATTCTTTTTAATGAAAACTACAATCTTTCAAAATTAACGAGCACCAAAATACAAAAAAAGGAATCACTGTGAGTCTACAAAAAGTATTTGGCAAAACTTATTACTAGATTCAAATAAGAGTCTATCGATTTTCTTATAGAAGAATTAGTGGAATGATAAGACTTACATTGTTTTGAATATTTTCAGTCATTATTTGACTCAAATTTAAATCTAATCGATGTGCATTGACGATAATTGGTGCATTGTTATCCATGATGTTCAATTTCGAATGTAGGATTGTACCCTGTTGGCTAGAATAATCAAAGCTATCTAGGAAGATGGGTATAGAATAGAGATGAAATTTTCGGCCATAATCGTCGTCTACATAGTCACATTTAACAAGCCACCGTTTGATTTCAAGCCAGAATGGTGTTTGAAATGGTGCAATCAATGATTCTACAGTGTTAGGCTCTGCATGATCATATACAGGGCGAGTAAACCAGAATTCGAACTTGTTCAATAGAGGTAATTTCATTTCAATAAAATTTTCCCATAGAGAACCATCAAATAATGAACGCTTCCATATAGCTGTTTTGCTCATAAGTCGAAGATGTGTTAGGTTAGGTGAAAGTGAAAGGAATGATTCAACAATGTACATCGTCATCCACGAGCTGTTTAAAGAGAGCGAAGTTAAGTGGCTGAACTGTTTGATATCAGAATGTGTAACTCCAGTCCCATACAATCGATTATTAGGAACATCTTTCAGAACCAATGTTTGTAGATGAGGCAATTGATCAAGAATAGAGTAAACTGTATCCCAAGTGCATCTACATACAATTGTCATATGCTCCAAACTATATGAAGCGGGCCATTGTATTTCATAGAGAGTATCCTCGCTTCCATCGAATTCGAATTTAGCTAGATCATTGTGCGATATAATTGATGATAACGAAGTGCTTGTATTGCTGTTATAATAATATTCATCTAATGAAATTGAGAATGTTTTAAGGGGATATTTCATGATATATTTTTGAAGTTCAGCCAAATCTTGACAGTTTATATAGAAGAGAGTC